CAGTCATGTGCATGCCTTACCAGTAAGCAAATTTTAGATACTTCGCTAAGATTTCGGGCAGCACATCATTATGAATGAATTACTTACACATTTCTTGGACACTATTGATGGTGTTATCTCTAAATTCCGCGATTTTTTCACATTCCATTATATAATGACGCAAAGTATGCGAATAGTTCTGCTGACAGAGTTTACATTTAGTCAAATCTACATCAGCAGATGTTACAAATTCCCAGAGGTACTTGTAGCCGAGCCTAAGCCTAGCAGTGGTAACATCTAGAAGTCTGCTAACATTATTGGATGACCCATAGACGTGCGGTTCTTCCTGCATAATAGAATGATGATAGATGGAGTAACTGGTGTGAATTTCACTTTGCCTCAAGTCTCCGAAATTTAGTTGATGTTCCTGGGATATTACTGCCCTCAGGCTGCTCAAAGGCAGTCCAAGTTGGTAATCAATTCCCTCTTTACGAGCAAAAGTCTTGGCCAACTCATCAGTTCTATCATGCATTCGGAGACCAATATGGGAAGGAATCCACAGGAAACAAACTCTGACTCCATCATTGATTATTTCACTATATCTGTGTGTAGCTTCAGAGATAAGCACGTCACAGTTATACCTTGGGGAGCTGAGGGCAGTCAAGGATGACAAGGAGTCACTTACAATTAGCGTGTCAACTTTGGATTCATATACGCACTCGAGTGCAAGGATTATGGCAACCAATTCTGTTTGAAGAGTGGAGGCCCAGTTATTTAGACGCGCTCCACACTCATGGGAGAAGGAACCATCTCTCCCTGTCACAACAACTGCATTTCCAGCTACACCATAGGACTGATGCAAGGATCCATCAGTGTAAATAATCTGGGACAGGGAGCGCTCTCTGACTAAAGCATCAATTTGGCTTAAGGCATTGTACTTTGCTTCTTGTGGAAGCAAGGCTTGTTCTTTAATCAGCTTCTTGGGTGGGAAAGGGGGAACAGTAATTTGGAAAGGAGTGATCTCCCATGGGGCAGGAAAGTGTTGTTGTTGTCTCTCTTGGTAGGGGTGATGAAAGTTATACATTCTGAGCACATTGGCAGTTACGGCAATCCATTTGGAGGGATGCTGACCTTCAAGCAAGATACAATTTCCACAGTTAAGAATGTAGCACTCGGCACAGTTGTAATCTGGGACTCCGCCGGCCTCACTCAGCTCTCTGCTGTGCTCCAAGCTCCGTCTCAACGTCCACGACATTACTGTATCTTAGTTAGTTAGTTAGTTTAGTTCATTTATTATGCACCCCATACCCATCTTGTGGGCGGTAGTGGAAAGGGTTACAGAGGCACATAATGGGCTCAGGGACTGAACCCCACAATTCATTTAGCTAAGCAAGTTACAATCTTGATGAGCTAGTTACAAAATTCAATATAAGTCATCACATCAACAATGGGTTCGAGATCGACCTCAAGTACAGGTTCTAAATTAAGCAACTGACATATGTGAAGAGCTAGTGTCAAAATTTATATGTTTGTCCTGCACACCGCCCCCCATCCAGTGGGCAGCGGTGGATAGGTTACAATCACTTAGTTACTACCTACAGTTAGCAAACTGGGGATATTTGGCTAAAATTTCTGGTAGCAGATCATTTTGAATGAAATATTGACACATCGCTGGAACATTGGTTATAGAATTGTCTCTAAATTCACGTATCTTTTTGCACTCCATCACATAGTGACGGAGGGTGTGCGAATAATTTTGTTGACACAGTTTACATTTGGTCAGGTCTACATCAGCAGATAATGAGAATTCCCAGAGATACTTGTAACCGAGTCTAAGCCGAGCAGTAGTAACATCTAGAAGTCTGCTGATTTTATTGGATGATCCATAGATGTGTGGCTCCTCTTACATGATAGTATGATGATAGATCGAATTACTGGTGTCAATTTCACTTTGCCTCAGATCTACAAGATCTTGTTGAAGTTCTCGGTGTACTGCTGCTCTCAGATTGCTCATTGACAATCCAAGGTTACACTCAACGGCTCCTTTAAAGACAGATTCTTTGGCTAACTTATCAGCTCTATCATGCATTCGGAGCCCAACATGAAATGGAGACCACATGAAATGGACTCTGTTACCATCCTTAATAATTTTGTTGTAGTTGTGTCTAGCTTCGGACACGAGCATGTTACAGTTATGTCTTAAAGAGTTGAGAGCATTTAAAGATGATAAGGAGTCACTTACAATTAATGTATCAAGTTTGGAGACTTGTACACATTTCAGTGCAAGGAGCAAGGCAAATAGTTCGGTCTGAAGGGTAGAGGTTCAGTTGTTTATACGGACTCCCCACTCAAAGTACAAGCCATCGCCCATTGTCAGAACAACTGCACTTCCAGCTGCACCCGAGGTGCGGTGTAGGGAACCATCAGTGTATATGATTTGAGAGAGAGAATGCTCTGTGGACAGAGCATCAATATGGCTAAAGGCATTGAGCTTTGCCTCAAGACGAAGCTTGGGCTGATCTCTAATTTGCTTCTTGGGTGGAAAGGGAGGGAGGGATTAAAACTGGAAAGGGTGTAACCTCCCACGGTGCAGGAAAGTGCCGTTGTTGTTTCTCTTGGTACAAATCATGAACCTGATACATTCTGAGTTGAGTTCCAGTTTTTGTTATCCGTTTGGAACAATGCAGATCTTCAATAAAGAAATTCTGGAGGGCTTCTGTGCAAGGGTTAGGATGAGTTAGCCTAAGCATTTTTATACCAATTTGACAGTTAATTTCCATAACACGATCAACAACGCTCGGAATATTAAGTTCCTTTCTCATATTAAGTATCTTTGTGGAACGAGGGCACCCAAGGATTATCCTCAAGGCTTCGTTCTGCAATTTTTCAAGCCCTCCAAGCTTTCTTTCAGGCATCAAAACAAGCAGAGGTGCAGCATAATCCACTAAAGATCTGATGTATGCAAGGTACATCATTTTGACAATTCTGACATTGGCACCATAGCCTGAGAGATAACCTGCAACAGCCTTGAGAGCTCGGAGCCTCTCTTTATACTGACGACAGAGTCTGAATACAACAGGACCCTACAGTGGCACCTCAAGGCCAAGGTATTTGAATCTGTTTACATAGTCAAGCTGGGAGCCATCAGAGAGTTGCATCTTGCGAACAGCTCCTCCCTGCCTGGATGGGCGCCGATTTAGTATCTTTGTTTTCTCTGCTGAGATGACTAAACCTAGGTCCTGACATGAGTCTAATACAGAGTTAAGAGTGTTCTGCGTGTTAGCATACCCAGTGGTGTGTATCATTATATCATCAGCATAGCTAATGATGTGGACGTTGGGTTTGCTCGGTACAGAGTTTTACAGCGTGTTTATTAAGATATTAAATAAGGTAGGACTGAGGACACCTCTCTGCGGGGTACCTAGTTCAAAGTCTCTTGTTACACTCCTATGACCCTGGAAGCTTGTAGACCAGATCAGGTGCTTGTAGACCAGGCAGAAGCTGGTAGACCAGGCACAAGGTAACAAAGTAAGCTGGTTACAACCCGCTCCAGGTACACTCAAGTATACTTGAAATACTTCTAGGTATACTCGTCGAGGGGCCAATAGCAGCATTTTTTGTTCATTTTTATGACGGCGAGCTATACCATCTTGGTTCAGTATAGCTGCAATACCACAACCCATCACAAAGGTCTCAATATCATTTTCACTTCCCACTTTACCATAAATCTTACGTGTTATCTGCAAATTTTAGGACGTGGTTTGTCATATTCTCATCAAAGTCATTGATGAATATGACAACAAGGGTTGGCCCCAAAATGGACCCCTGTGGTACCCCATTTACGACATGTCTCCAGCCAAATTCATTCCCATTAGTACAACCTATTGTTTTCTTTGTTTTAACAATTTCAGTATTCTCCCATTTATTTTATGTGCCTGTAGTTTCCTTGTCAGTCTTTCATATGGTTTCTTGTCTAAAGCTTTAGCAAAGTCCATGTAAACTACATTTACCAGAAGTTGATCAGCCAGTAGTTTTCTGCCGAATTTTACATATTTCCTATCTATGGGGACTATCCCTTTTTCTAGAGATCTTCTGAAAAGGATTATCTATATCTGTAATTGTCCTGTTTATCACCAAATGGTATGAACTACAGTATTTCATACTCACGAATATTGGAAGATGTTCTTGTGCTCTACAAAAATTTTGCCAGTGTAGGCTAATAGATCAGCCTCGAATTTCATGTTCGCTCTTGATTCCATGTATGACTAACCATCCTGAGAGATGGGCATATTAGATGAACTTATAGCTAGTTATGATTACCTTGGTTTAAGATATTTGCAATAAGAGCAAGCTTAGACAATTTTTTTTAGAATAATCCAACAAATGTGCACTGAAACACACAATAACAATGAACAAAATATATTCTTTATTAAATTACAAGGTGGCTCATATTCTATGAAAGCTGTAGCATTCAAGAATTTGAGAACAGTTTTCCTTCTTGCCACTGCTTTTGGTACTGGCAAAAGTTGGCATCTATGCATACACTGCAGTGGCCTTCATGTTGTGGTTGTACAGGGTTTGAGGTGTCAACCTGCACAATAGTAGGCATCCATCAGTTTCAGGAGACCATGGAGTTGCGCTCTGGTTATCGGTCTGGAGTGGCCTCACCAGGGCGCAAAGCCAGGGTTGGTTGATTCGGGGGAGAAGCTGTTACCCAGGCAGCAGGTCCCCCTCTCCACGACGCTGAAAGTCTCCAATGGTCAGAGTTCCAGCTACCCAGAGATGGAAACGTTTGCTGTGAGGAAAGGGGGGGGGGGGACTGCAACTACTCAACATTACAACTGTCCCCAACATTTTAATAAGATTATCTCTGGACTAATCTTTTACATGAATCTGATCCTTTTTCCTTGGAATTTTCAAGCTTTGCTATTCTTGAGCCAAACTGAATAGCTCGTTTTGGTAGCCATGCAGCAACTGTCAGCCCAAGATGAGCAGCTGTAACACGAAGGAGGAACTTCTCTCCTATTCCACGTGGCAAATATAGGTTAGCCTTTATCCAGACTGGGAGCGAGTTGAGAAGAGATACAACATCTTCATCTAAGTATGGAAACCTGCAAGAGAGGGCAGACTGAATAACTTTACATATACAGTATAGTACAGTACATATATTATTTCTATGTATATTGTCTAAAAACTAACCTGTCACAAAGGTGGCAAAATGCACTGATTTGGTTCAGAGTTCATTCTCATTTTCTGCGTTCTGCCTTTGTGGTTGTGATCCAGGCTTCCTCTTAGCTGGCAGTTTCTTGGTTGGGATTCAATCAAGAAATACTATTTTCACTCCTTCCTTCTTGAGAATTGTCCTGTTTATCAGTTACATCCCAGGTTTTCTTGATTTTGGTTTGTTCTTGGCTCGTTTCCCTGGTTATGCAATGTATCTCTTAGCTTATTCTGAGCCAATTTCAGTCCTTGGGTTGGCTGGAGTTGGAAGTTCACCTCAATGTCTCCATTTGGCACTTGCTTTTTGACCCCAGCTTTGCTTCCAGTCTTCCACCAGGTTTCCTTAGGAGGTTCTTCTCAATGTCCGATTAGTTTAAGCTCTCAGTTTGTGTGTATCTGGCAGAGGTTTTAGATCATCCAGTGATACCACACAAAGCCTCTGGGTGAGTGTTGGAAGTCTAAGCTGATGCTGGTCCAGTGTCAGACTGGGTCAGGGTTATTTTAGGATTGAAAGACAGATTCTTTTGTAGTCCTCTCCATTGTTTAAGCTGTGTTTTGGTACTTCTGTTTGGGACTGAAGCTTGGTCTTCAGTTGTTGCCTACCTGTATAGGAGTATATGGTTCTCTCTGCTTGTGATAGGCATGTAGCTGAGTGCAGCAGTAAATAGCTGTTGGTTCACTTTGTGCCCTCAATTCTCCTTGTTGAGCTCTTCAATTTCCATCTATTTATGTCAGAGGGGGTGTTAAGCAGGAATTCTTTTCTGTGGTTTTGCAAGGCTGCAGGTGGATCTGTTTGCCCCGACATGGAGTCAAGGTGGATGCCTTTTGCATGGGGTTTCTGTGCATTGTCCTCTTTCAGGCTTTTCAGGTTTATTTTGTCTACACTGTAGCCGATTCATTATGTTCTTCTTAGCTAGTCTTGCATATTGACCCCATCAGGTTCTTTCTCTGTGGCTTCACCTTCCTTTGAGATTAGCATCTACCACTCTGTCAATTGTCTTATGCCATATAGGGTTTCAACCTCTCATTTGGCCTAGGCTGTGTTTCTCTTCATTGCCATTATTGTGATCTTTTCATCAGCTCTACTTACAGTACTATGTTAGGGCTTTAATATTCCTCCAGAGCCATAATTTTTTTTGTCTGAATTCTTGCATGCTTATCCTCTCACTTGTTTAAAGTCATGCCTTCAACATTAGCTATCTGGTTTCATCTTGTGTTAAGCAGTCTTATGGGTTAGGCAATCTATGCTTCTCTTCATTTTTTGGTCTGGTGATTCTGGTTCATTCCTTGCCACAAATGATTGCTTGTTTTCGACAAAGCTCTTTGGTTTTTACCGCTTCCACTGGTGACTCTAGTTGCTCGTGGAGTAGCTCTATTCTTTAACTTTTGATTTCTTCTTCCCTGCTCCTTCACTTGTTTTTCAGTGATTTTTAGCAGGGTGATCCTTATGATCAACTTCTTTCCTTCATCATCATCCTAACCTCTATATGTTTGCAGCACTGGCAACATTCTTTAACAACATGTTGACAGCCATTATTCATACTCATGGTTTCACAATGCTCAGTTAGATGTCTGGTGCCTTCCTGGCTACACCTCAACCTCAGTGCAACTGTGGACCTTTGGGGAACATAATTCGCTCGAGTTGTTCTTAATGTTTATCTGGGTCCGACATCCAGGGGGATCGACATTTTTAGGCAAGCTTCCTTTTCTCTTAATTATGCATGGTTTCCCATATCAAGTTTCTGTCTTATGATGTTATTCTGTAGATTATTCACGTGAGGCACAGTGGGGAATATAAGCTCTGGGAAGTCACCGAGGGTGCCACCCCAGAAATAGAAGAGAGTATAATGAAACATCTCTTTCTGGTGGCCACTCAGTGGTTCCCCTTTATCCATTATTCCCCTGCACAATCATAGGTTCCAGAGGAGTAGTTCAGGCATGAGTGTGATGGTGGTGGTGGGCTCAACTGGCCTCTGCTTGACTAGCGGTACCATCTGGTGGCAGGAGGTGGTGGTGGTGAAGTGGTATCGAGATAGTTTAGAGTTTTGTTTGGAATGAATTTGTATTCAACATATCTCTTTTTCTAAGCACATTTTGAGTTTTTACGACCCCCCTTTTCAGCCATTTTGGCAGGGGTTCCCCTCGGTATGTGGTATCTTCCGACTCCCTCAGCTTCTTCTGCTCCCGATAGGTCATGGGATGATCACAAATACCTGGCACGTTCGATCTGGCTCTGGGATATCAGTGCATAAGTTTCAGAAAGTTACTGAGTGCTCTGCAGAAGGGGACATTTCATTTTACTCATCTTTATTTGTCAGGCTAAATAGCCATAACACTACATATTCCTTATGGTATCTATGTCTAAATTCACATTTTAAAAAAGCATTGCGTATAACTATGATATATATCATAACTATAGCTTTCAAAAAGAGAATTGAGAAATGTCAATTCTATCAGTTACAATGAATATTTTGAGACAAAAATATACAACTTTGGATAACATTTATAATAAGGAATGACATGTAATCATCGGAAAATTGTAAACAAATTTCTATATCCACCTTGGAGCACGTCCATGATCAGTCAAGATCCTATTGTCTCGGCCCAGATTTCTAGTATGTATCCGAGAGATCTCCATGCTGATTTCTTCTAACAGGGCCGACCAGCCCCCGGCTGCGAAGCATCCACGATGACGAGAATATCCCCCTAACTGTTCATCAGCCCCCATTCCACACAAGAGAACCTTTATATGGTCAAACAAAAGCAACAATTCAGTATTATGGCAATATCCTACATCAACTTCACACAACTTTTAAGTACAGTAGTATTAAGATAATCAAATATAAAATCCTGTATTATGGTAACATCCTGAACAAGAGAATATGTGTAGTACAGTATAATAATACAAATGTAAAAAATACAATACAGTACCTCATTCTGGCCTTATAAGCAGCATTTACTTTCTTTAACCAGGGATAATTTATCTGTATTGTACATCAGATATTGCTATAATAAGCAATAGCTGTCAAATATTTATGCTTACTCGAGCTGGTGAGGTGTAAGGCGCTCCCCTGAGGAACCCATGGCCACGACCACCAAACCAAAGTGCACATCCAATACTGTCATCCAGAACTGATGCTAATGGGGCAACCAAGTGACGAATGTCCGACTCTCTCTTCTGTGCCAGCTCCTCACCCGTCACATTTATCTGCAGTGAAGAAGGTTTCATATTATCATGTAAAAGAAAATTAACTGATTAAGATAACATTTTTATAAAGAATGATTAACAAGATATACTTACAGCACAACTCTGCCTGGACAGGACTCTCCACAACCACTCGTTTGTCACCACCACCATTATCAACTCATCAAAGTCTACCACCATCTCACCGTTTGTCACCAATACCTTAATCACTCTATCATGATTAAATTCATTATACACACACACAGTCTAGCACAAAATTACAGATGATACTTCTTGATTTGATATAATCGAGTTCTATTTCTTCTATATTTGTCTTTATTCGTTATTAAATTTAATGACATGGCTCAGTCTGGTGGGGGTGCTCAGTAGCTCGCTAAGCCACAACCTGGAAGCAACAAAGCCACGAGGAAAACACTAGGATTATGACCTGAGCACCTACCAGCCAGGGGCAAGGACCTGAATCTTGTTCCCACCTCAAAGAGGCAAAGGGAAGCCTGAGGATCCGGGATTACCACCGAATTGAGCAAAATACTCGCTAGGAGAGTCAAAGTGCTCCAAGACAAGTAACTGCTTGGAGAAAATTGCAACCCAAACGAAAATTATGCAAACAGATGTTCCCACAGTGGGATTACTGTCTAGCTATACTTACCTGTCACCAGATGGCAGCCCAGGCAACTCAGGGTCCCAATCGGCCAGCCAGCTTATTCACTAGCCATCCCAAACCCCATAGACATTCATTGAAGGGAATAGGTGGGGATTGGAAACTATTGAGTGACTCACCAGAAAGAGGCATTTCATTACATTCAACACTGGATTTTAGGAAGGGTCTTATTAATAGTGCCCCAAGATAATTTCACAACAGTTCCTGACACTTCCGTGTCAGTTCCCGGCACAGAAGTGCCTAAGTAAGAGAAAGACGCAGAAAAGTTACTGCCACTTCACCTCATACTGCTGCCTTGAGAAAAGTTATAAATGCGACACCACCCGAGTCCCATACAGATAATGATAGATCAAGCCTAAAAACTCTAAACACAAAGATTTGCAGAACTTCAAACCATTGAGATCCCCAGCAGATTGGGAAATCTGCTGGGAAAATCATTATCATGGGAAGGGTTGTAGGGACTCAGCCTGAAGGGTCAGAAACCATGGAGCCAGAAGAATAACCCTGCCTACATACCTCTCCAGCTGGACCAATATAACAAGGAACAGAGGAAAAATGGGTAGGAAAACCCATTAGCTCCAGTCCTGGTGATTCTATGTTGAGGCGAATCAGTCTACCTGCAGAAAGTCAAACATCTCGCAAAACTAGGAGGAAGAAGCCTTACCTACTGACCACTCTATTGAAAGTGGATGGAAACGAGAGCACATTCAACTTATCTAAGTGTGGACTGCCTAAAGGCTAAATCCTGATAGCCATAAGCCAGAATATCTGTAGAGTCCAGGGGCCAGATTCACGAAGCAGTTATGCAAGAACTTACAAACATGTACATCTTTCCTTAATCTTTGACAGCTTTGTTTACATTTAATAAACAGTTTACAAGCATGAAAACTTCCCAATCAACTGTCGTTATTGTTATAAACAGCCTCCTGGTGCTTCGGAGCACATTAACTGTTTAATAATTGTAAACAAAGTCGCCAAAGTTTGAGAAAAGATGTACAGGTTCGTAAGTGCTTGCATAACTGCTTCGTGAATCTGGCCCCAACTCCATAAGAAAAGAGAACAAACTGAGCCTCACCAGTTGATACAATGACAACTGGGATGCAGTCAGTCATGCTAAAGAGTGGAATCCCTTGGGAGACTGTTGTGTTGTAAGATCAACCAGTCTGCTGCAAATTACCTGACCTTGATGTGTGCTTGCCCTAATCAGCATAGTGACATCTGAAGAAAAAACCCAAGCTCAGGTCTGATGAATCAATTAAAAGCTCAAAATATGGAGGAGGGCAATACTGAACCTGAGCCCCAAAATGCCAGAAGAGAAAAATTATAAATCAAAATCCTCCACTAGTCAAATGGGGCCTGAACTCGACTGTCCTGACAACGTCAGGGATGCTCAAGCAGATAGAAACATGAAAATACTGAAATAAATAAGAGAAAACCAGGAAATGGGCCAGCACTTAACACTGAAAAATATTATGGAAGTGAAGATACTGGAGCAGACCACTAACTGGTACTTTAGTTCAAAACAAGTATAATCACAGGGAAAAGCTATATGCAACTTTATATCCTTCATGGGATTGTAGTGCTACCATAGGCAACCAACATCAACTGCTCAATTGTATTAAATACATGTACAGTACATGTATCAGATAATTCATATTATTCCATAATTACCTCCACAAAATTCCATTTTCTAGAAGGTCTCAACTCTTGTAATTGGAGCCAGCACTGTCTCCCAGAAATTCTGTCTGGGACTTCATAGTTCTTAAGTAAATTATCTTCATTTTTTTTATTTTTTTTATTAACTTTGTTATTTAGAGGTTTCTGTAGAAATGCCACATTCAATAGATCAATACTTTCCGATTCTGACAAACAAGAATCTAAGAGAAGAGCAAGCATTGCAGAATCCAAACCTCCCGAAAACAGCACTGCAATTCTTGAATGGTTACACGTTATTGGAGAGTTTGTACAACTGCGGCATTTTGGTGGACTTTTCTCGACTCTTCTCCTGACAGAGGTTGTTAATACTTTTATCAGGTTTTCAATATTATCTGTAAGAGCTAAATATAATCTCTCTGTATTTTCCTTATCTAATGAACTTGGTAAAGACTTGAATTGCTCTATGACAATATCTGAAGGAATACACATATTCAGAGAAGTTTGCACACTTGAAACTATTGTGTGCTTTTTGACATTTATCACAGAGTCCAGAGACAAAAGACTTTCTTCAGCCACATGTGACCAAGGAATTAAATTAACTGTAAATCCTTTTTTTAAATTAGTTTCAGAAAAATCAACAAAATAAAGTCCAAAAGCTGGAATTTCCTTTACATATTCATTTTGCTGACAGACAGATGTTATCTGGAACACTGATGAAGTTGCAGAAGGCAGTTTCCAAACCAAACTATGTCTGCCAAAGACATCTCTCCCAAAAAATAACTTTTTTGTTTCTTTCTGGTAATAAATAAGTGACCAAGGACCTTTTATAGTCCCCAGGAAGGATGAAATTTCCTCCTCGTTTTTTGTAGCCAAATAGTCAGATATATATTTTGTGTCGCTAAGATCCCCTGGAATCTGAAATTACGAGAAAAAACACACACATTAGTTTAAATCATATACATTCAAATCTCTTAATTTTACATGAATTTTAAACCATTTAATAAATCATTAAAAATTAAGTTATTAAAATTATGAAAAATGCAGTAATGAATATAATGAAACGACTCTTTCCGTTGGGTCCCTCAGCAGATCCCCAGGCCACCCCACCTCGCAATCGTGAAGTAAAAACAAGGAACAAATAAAATAACAATGGCTTCCTGAAGAACTGAAGTTCCGGGGATAGTCAACACCACTTAGATGTGTAACTGTAACAGTAGAAAGCACCCAGACAGAGATATAAAGCCCAAGTGCAAAACAAAACAAAAAACAAAGTCAGTACAGTTCTGGGCTGGCAAGGATCCTCAGGTGCCCTGGGTTATCAACTGGTGTTGAGTAGGCACAATAATATTAGTACTGTACTGTATTTACATAGGGGCACTGCTGGTTGCTTTGTTACCTATTTGAAGTTAGTTTTCATCATGCAGCTATTTGCTTTGTTGCACCTATGCTTTCTGGTAGAGATTTCTCTCTCTTTTTTGAGGTTCATCTCTGATTCCCAACTCCCTTTGTCAATATTGACTTCCAGTAAATTAAAAAAAAAGTGGATCTCAGAGGCCTGGTGCAATTTTACCAAATGCACAGTACAACTAGCGCTTAGCTCAGGGCTCCTCTCATTTAAATATTATGTATCAATATCAAAATATTTATAAAACTATTTATAAAATAAATATAAAACTATTTATAAAATTTAAGCTCAGTATTAGTATTAATCAAAATATAAGTATTGGTTTATCTCTAAATGACACCAAAATAGCCATGTATCAAATAAGTCAGGAAAGTTGAATATTACATGACTAACCTAAACAAAAATTTAGACACACACTTAAAAATTAATAGATTTAAACAATTTGAAGGCCTTTTTAAAAAGTATTAAGAAAAACATATATACTCTACCTCAAAGCCTGCAAAAATATCACCATTCCACAGCAAGATATTTCCATACTGATCTACAAGTGGTTGTGGTGTTGGCTCATGTCCCTGAAGCCACAAAACACAGCCTTCGAACAATCCTGTCACCTAGAAACAAATGACAGATTGATTAGTACCATAACAATAAGATCAGTGGTCACCGTCCAGCCCAAATAGTTATCTTCTTGAGGTTATCTTGAGATGATTTCGGGGCTTTCTAGTGTCCCCGCGGCCCAGTCCTCGACCAGGCCTCCACCCCCAGGAAGCAGCCCGTGACAGCTGACTAACACCCAGGTACCTATTTTACTGCTAGGTAACAGGGGCATAGGGTGAAAGAAACTCTGCCCATTGTTTCTCGCCGGCGCCTGGGATCGAACCCAGGACCACAGGATCACAAGTCCAGCGTGCTGTCCGCTCGGCCGACCGGCTCCCGGTCAGTTTGGGTCAGTTTAAGAAAGAGAATGTTTGACATATTTACATGACAAATTATGCAAAGCACTTTACATTTAGCAGTATGAAGCAGTTGGATCCTTGTGTTGATGCATTGATAAAGTGTAATGGTGCTGGTTTTATGTAATGTTCTAATACTGTATGTTGTCTAGTATGGCAAATAGATTTTTTTTTTGTAATGTTTCTACTTTTCCTATTTGATCTCCTATTTTCTCTCGTGTGATGCCTCCCTACTCCTTGACAGTAGTAATAGGTAATAACTACTTAGCAAGATGTATAGTGTATTAATAAAACTTACCTCATCATTAATGGATAAAATCTCCCTTCCACAAGCATCAGGGCCTCGATGACTAAGAAAAGAGTAACTTGGAAGTATCTGAAAAACAATCTTACAATAATTATCTAGTGGTGAATATGTTATTTATGTTCATTTACCTGATTTACCTCAGGGCCATTACCCCTAGTGGCCTCAATGAGGACAGGAAGCCGATGGCTTGTTGAAGGAACCCCCATTTCACATATCACATTCTTGGTAACTGTAAAAAGAATTCCCTCACTGTAAGTCAGGCCCTGTTCTTGTACCCTTCTATCAGCCCTTGTCATTGTCCTCACACCCATTCTCTATCTATCAATAGCTTCCAACAGCTCCTATGGATTTTTCTCATTGAATTTTTCTTTTAAAATATTTTAAGAATTGCTCGCCATTGTGAACAAGTTTTGAAAGGACTGTGCATTCCATGGGTTAAAGCCTGCTATCTACTGTGAAACTGGCTAGGGAATATCTCCACAAAATTAAAGCAATATACAAGATCTTACAATTTTTTTTGTATATTGAACAAAAGCCCCACAATGACAGTAGGCACATTATATTATTTATTATTATTATTTTTTTTATTTATATATATACAGTACAGTACAAGAGTTCTTACATTCTTGTACAGCCACTAGCACGTATAGCGTTTCGGGCAAGTCCTTAATCCGATGTTCCCCGGAATACGACCCCGTCAAATCATTTAACAACCAGGTACCCATTTTAGGGTTGGGTAAACAGAGGCTACAGTTAAGGATCGATGCCCAGAAAATCCTCCCCCGGCCAGGATATGAACCCAGAACAAAGTGCTTGCGAAATGCCAGGCGAGTGTCTTACCACTACACCACGGGGACTACTTGCAGGAAATTAAATACAGTTGAATGATTAGGTAAAATAACTGATACATTATAGTGCTTTATATTTTGTACCAATAGATAAGCAAGTTACCTTTTCCTCCAACTCGTGTGGTGATACTGACAAGCCACAAATGAAGCAAATGCCACACATTCTTAGTACAGTAAGCAGTACACTATAATAAACTGCTAGGCGATCCTTTTATAAATTCTTCAGTACAGTACTGTGCAGTGCAGAAAACATCTGAAATACATAATGAGAATTAGGTTAATCCCATGTGAGCACCAATTTATTATTATAATTTTGGAAATGAAATTTCCCACAGGCAATTTTGTCATGTTTGTTTCACTAGCAAAGATTAGTTTATATGTACCCAACAATAATGTGAAGTCAAAGTGTATAATGTACATTTATTGATTTCAGAAGTACTGTATAGTATTGTATAATTATTTGACTCTACATCACAAAATGAAACGGCTTGCCCACTGAAGTCACATTCCGTTGTTAGCAATAAGCTCACTATTGTCTATTGCATTTTATTTGAGAATGGTAAAAGTTGGAATGGTTGAATTTGTTTAAACAGTTTTTGGTTGGAACAGCCCTGCACAGATCCACCAGTTATCAGCACTTCTTGACCAAGCCAATGCTGGACTTTTCCTCACTCGAAGGTCAAATGGCAAAACAACAAATCTATCTACTGTACTGTGCTGTGTTTCCTTGTTACCTTAGGCAATATATGCACCAGGCATCATATCTTTTTTTTTTTTTTTTTTGAGATATATACAAGAGTTGTTACATTCTTGTACAGCCACTAGTACGCGTAGTGTTTCGGGCAAGTCCCTGGAATACGATCCCCTGCCGCGAAGAATCGTTGTTACAACCAAGTACACATTTTACTGTTGCGTTAACAGAGGCTACAGTTAAGGATTTGTGCCCAGTAAATCCTCCCCGGCCAGGATACGAACCCATGACATAGCGCTCGCGGAACACCAGGCGAGTGTCTTACCACTACACCACGGAGACTGGCTACTTATCCAAGATATAGTGTTGCCTGTGTGGAGCGACTTATCCAAGATAGTGTTGCCTGTGTGGAGCGACTTATCCAAGATAGTGTTGCCTGTGTGGAGTGACTTATCCAAGATAGTGTTGCCTGTGTGGAGCGACTTATCCAAGATATAATGTTGCCTGGAGTCGCACTTCTCTGCACATATTATCGCAAATTGATTATTTTTAATAATTCACTGTCGGGGACAGGAAGCCAGAGTGTATTCATTCACGTTTGACTTTTATTGAGGTTCTTCCCTTCCCCCCCAAGGCTGAATTACTGACCCCGCCCAGGATGCAACCCCACAATAAGGTGACTAACTCCTGAGTAAATACTCACTACTAGGTGAACAGATGCATTAGGTGATAGGAAATGTGCCCAACCATTCCTGTCCCGCCCGGATTCGAACCTGGAATTCTTGACTGTGCGTCAAGAACGAAGCCGACTGTACTACCGGGACCCCTTGAAATATCAAATAATATCAAATATCAATAATAATATCACTGGTAATATCAAATCGATGATATTAATTACTAAAATACATGTTTGCAATAATGTTTAGCATAGATAGCTACATAGCATATAAGATTAATTTAACAAAACATGTCTAGGAAGTTATTCGTCAGTATGTGTTCGCTACTTAAACTACTATTTAATTCAATGTATACACTTATATGTATAAGTACAGTACGTATAAATTTTATATAAATAGTATATATTTATAAGTAGTATAAACAATATACTCTTCACTCGTTTTTGTGAATCCATCGGGGAATATATATTTCAAAGGTCCATTCAAAGATTATTTCACAATAAAATGATGTTTTTCTACATTCTACCTTTAGTACCATCATTATAGTGGGTAAATATATCATATTTCTTCATTACTTAGGTAATGCTAGGAGGCTTTGGGTGATTTTGGGTGATTAGATGGACCCCTAATGTGTCCGGATTCCTGCTTCTAGTTACACAAAGGAGAAAACTGATGTCAGCAACATAATAATACTTAATCTTAGTTTCGTTTTAGAAAGCATAATAAACTTCTATTTGTGCCAGATGCACAAAAAGCAGTTATTAATAACTTATTTTTGTTGCTCAAGCTTCTCAAGTGTAGAGAAGTGCAGGCATGCGGACGTGAGAGCTAGGAGTTGGGAAGCAATGGGGGGATATCCCATGAGGGATGGGGGACGGTACTATGGGATAGGGGCTAGGTGGTGGGGTAATGGGGAGGGGGTTAAGGGGGTGGGTGTTAAGGGTGGTGGGTGATGAGGGGTGCGCAGTGGCCCACCAGACTCAACAGTGGTCGCTGGGGGTGACAGTCTACACTGTGGTTGACTTGTTCCTCCCTGGAGCCGCTCTTAACACTATGACAACTGTCAATTGCCTTACAGCCCTTCTTAAACACCATAACCGTACAGTAAGTCCATAGTGTAACACTGGCATGTATATATGTACTGGGAGCTGCAGTGCAGCTACACAGTATTGCTGCTTATTAACCCTGATTTGGGCTATATACCCGGCCGGACCATGTCCACTACAGTATATTACCTTGACAACACCATAACGCCGCATCTGACATACATATTAATGTAATGGATATTGACCCTATAGTTTTTACTAAGAATATTGAGTTGTCAAGTAAGCTTAGGTTATATACACGTGGGATTTTGGCAGGCGACACAGGAGGCGGGTTTGACAAGTGGAGGTGACAGTGATGGATGTCTTGTCACTGCTCCTCATGCCTCACCCACTTGACTTTCATATAAGTTTATTAAGGTATAAATACACACAAAAGGATGAGGGAGCTCAAGCTATTCTCACCCCCTCGTTCAGTACAACGTGTTCACATATATATGAACCCTACTTGACCTTTGTACCGTATTGTGTACCGTACTGTCATGGCTCTGCTCAGTACCCTCCTGATAACCCTTCAACAGAAGGAAACAGAACACATTATCTGCGTATTGGTGCTTCTACTCGTTTTACGAGGCATGTTTATTATATATTTACAAATAAGATAATAGTTTATGCAAGTGCAGAGTATGGAGATTAAATGGTACAATCTTGTAAAGTCATTAACAAGCATAATGTTTCAGGCAAATGACACTTTTTTTCCCCCATATGCTGCTGCTGAATCCTGTGTGTACTTTGTACAGGTTATAAATTGTACCTAAAAAGTACAGTGTACATATAAATACTGTACTGTACTGTATAGTACAGGTAAATTCAGAAACAGGTCAACAACCATACTTTTAAGGGCATTTTACCTTGACAGTTGGGAACAGATTTAAGTACAGTAGAGCAGGGGTTGTTACCTGCTGATTTGTTTGATTAATCAAAAACCTTTGAAAAGTAACTTGCTTGGTGGCTCTGGTTGAGTTAGGGGCAAAGGTTGGGTACCAGTTAAATATCATTTGCCTTGTTTCCAGCACTGGTTTATTTTGTTTCACCTAGAACCTTTGGGTAATTTTCTCCATTATTTGGAGAAAATTTTCTCTGACCCTTATACTGCCCTCACCTGTTAAGTGAACTAGATTCTAGTCCTGGTTTTCAGAAGGCCTGCATCAGTCTCGGATGCCCAGTGCGCTCTGTAGCCTCTGGTACCAGTGCCTAAGCTCGGGAGGAACTATTAAGGGGCCTGCCATAAAAATAAAAGAAATAATGAATAAAATTTTAGTAATGGCAAGGTTCTACTATTAAGTACAGTATTCTGTAATTAATAATTATGCTACATAAAATATTGAATAATTACAGCTCATGATGTTGAAAGGACATGGACTGCGTTATGCATCTTTGCTACACCAAGAGGCATATATTGGTGGCAAATGGGTAGGGGCGGCAAGTGGCAAACTTTTCCCCGTCACCAATCCAGCCAATGACAAGGTATGCTACTGATAAAAGTTAAGTTTATGCATGTGAGATTAATTGGCTAACTCAATATACTGTATATAGCATACTCATATCCATATTTTAATTTAAATATTATATAATTTCTTTGCTCGTCGGGACAGAGATTGCCTACAGAAATATGCATAATATGTAAATTATTATAATGTAGCCATTTGATCACAACCTAATTTTTAACACGTTTTAAAATACTTTTGTGTATTCAATGACAGATTCTATATTTGTGTTGTCAGTAACCTAGAAGAATTGAAGGGTATAAATTACATGTTGAAAGCAGTGAAGTGCCCTTCTCTGGTTGGCCTTTGGTAGTTTCCTGTAACTTGTGTTCTGGTGAAGCCTGGCCTTGAGATGTGCACTCTGGGATCCATATTTACCTATCGGGAGTCGGGGCCAAGCTGTTGCTTGTTTTGTTGTGCTTATGGTTTCTGGTAAATTTATTTTTGGTTTTGGGTATAGCTCTGATCCCAGAGCTTCCCTTGCCACTTAAAGTGAGCCAGAATCTGGTCCTGGCTTCTGGTAGAGAAGGATAGTTTTCAGAGACCTAGTGTGATTAACTATTGGCGGTACCAGCACTTAAGCGTAAGGGAATATTTGAGGTCCATCAGAAAAGGCTGTTTCATTACATTCAATATTATTTCACAATTTTGAGTTGATCTCTGATCCCCAAGCAAATCTTCCCTTGTAGAGAGAGCCAGATTCTGGTAAAGGTTTCTGGTAATACAACATTGGTCTTGCAGGCTTGGTGTACATTTCAAGGTGCAGCTTCATTTTAGAGTGCAAGCTACAGAGAGTTACTGAGGGGAATCTCCCAGGAGATTAGGCATTACAGTACTAGGTCAAGTGTTTCAAAAGAACAGCAAGATGTTTTGTAACGTATCTCTCTAAAGAAGCAGGCATTATAATGTTTCTTTTTGCGACATAAATATTTCTGTGTACATGAAGTGTCATATTTATTGCTGCCACAAACCCATTGCTCATCAGGGGACAGTTCTGGAAAAGCTTAGCCACCCGTCTTTTTGATAAACGAAACATTGGTGTAACAAATGTGTCTTTATATGTATATATTCTATACAGGTGATTGCTAGTGTGCCTGACATGGAAGAAGCTGACACTCGGGCAGCTATTGATTCTGCATATGAGGCTTTTAAAACCTGGCAGAAGACTACAGCAAGGGTAAGTTCCATTTGATGCTTATACTGAATTAATCCATGTGAATTTTCAGGTCGGTAACATAATCATATTTATAAAACTAGTCAAATCTATTTCTACAAGTTAATTGATAATTTTTTAACTATATAGCACCTAACAAATACCGAATGGTTTTGACAATGCATGACATCATATATAAATGCACAACTGATAGGAAGGGAATTGTGAGGAGAAAATGCTAAACCAGTATGGTATACTGTATAGTAAATACAGATAGGTTGTTAGAAGAGTACAAGTGCAAAAAAATTGTTAAAATATAGCAGGGATGAGTGAGGTACTGTATTTGCAGAAGTATATACAAAGATTTCTGTGAGGGCTCCTTCAGTACCTTACTAGTACTTACTTCAGTACTTAAGTACTTCAGTACTTACTTCAAGAAGACCTGGACAAAATAAGTATATGGAGCACCACTTGGCAAATGGAATTTAATGTTAATAAATGTCTTGTTATGGAATGTGGAATAGGAGAACATAGATCCCACACAACCTATATATTATGTGAGAAATCTTTAAAGAATTCTGATAAAGAAAGAGATCTAGGAGTGGTTCTAGATAGAAAACTATCACCTGAGGACCACATAAAGAATATTGTGCAAGGAGCCTATGCTATGCTTTCTAACTTCAGAATTGCATTTAAATACATGGATGGCGATATACTAAAGAAATTGTTCATGACTTTTGTTAGGCCAAAGCTAGAATATGCAGCGGTTGTGTGGTGCCCATATCTTAAGAAGCACATCAACAAACTGGAAAAGGTGCAAAGACATGCTACTAAGTGGCTCCCAGAACTGAAGGGCAAGAGCTACGAGGAGAGGTTAGAAGCATTAAATATGCCAAAACTAGAAGACAGAAGAAAAAGAGGTGATATGATCACTACATACAAAATAGTAACAGGAATTGATAAAATCGACAGGGAAGACTTCCCGAGACCTGGAATTTCAAGAACAAGAGGTCATAGATTTAAACTAGCTAAACACAGATGCCGAAGAAATATAAGAAAATTCACCTTCGCAAATAGAGTGGTAGACGGTTGGAACAAGTTAAGTGAGAAGGTGGTGGAGGCCAAGACCGTCAGTAGTTTCAAAGCGTTATATGACAAAGAGTGCTGGGAAGACGGGACACCACGAGCGTAGCTCTCATCCTGTAACTACACTTAGGTAATTACTAGAATTAAGTGCAGGTTCAGCAAACAGGGAGATGTACTCCCTCAAAGGAGCACCCCTTGTCGTGGTGAAGGTGCTTGTGTACGACACCGTGGTGCTGGTAGGGGGTTGCTTCTGCACCCTCTCTCTCTCTCTGGGTATTGTACGTGCAAACCAGACCAACGTAGGGCACCCTTTGGTAGCTTCATTGGTCATTGGCTGATCATTGGACCACCCACTGGAGGAACTGCCCGTTAGGGGCTGCTCTTGGGGAGGGGGGGGGGCTGGTCGGGAGTTTGGGCTGGGAGTGAGAGGAGAAAAGTTGTCTTTGCACCAGTGTGGAAGGATGTATATGATGCAGTTGGGCCCCCCGTGTTAAAAAGTGGGGGTCACTGCTTGGGATAATGTACCCCTTCTGCATTAGCCAGCATTTGGCCTTCCTTGCTGCCCTGGTAGGTGTATCTGTTGGCTCAAGGGGCCCAAACGTTTGGAATAATTGATGCTCATGGAACATGAAAACTCTTCTCAAACACAAGCTCATGGGATGCCCAAACAGGCCCCCCTCCCCCAATAAAATAAATCAACACATCCTCCAACCCATGAAAATGGGAAAAGATTATTACAATACAGTTTTTGAAAGCAGTAAATTTATGATTTTTGTCAAGTTTATCCAGGATTTTTTTTTTTTTGTTAGATGTGTATTCATATTAACAAGTAACCTGTGTGATAGACTGGTTCTGCTGCATCAGTTATTTATGTAAAATATATATATATGAATGATGTATATTTTGTTTTTGAGACATTTTATATGTTGCTATATTTTAAAATTAAACTTTTCTGTTTCTCTAATTTAAGGTATATTGTATGAATTTAGCAAAATAAGAAAATACATTCTTCACTTTTAAAATATGTGGTATAATATGTAGCAAGATTAAGGTACAGTAATATGTAATGCAGTTATTGTCATCCATCAGTAGCCTGTTTTCATAGTCACCCAGCATCTGCCAAGTGAACTGCAACTGGAAACCAGTACATGATGCATTCTCCTGTCCCATTACCCTTACCACCTTTTCCATATAGATGAGGTGGACCACAGAGCAGCCCCCCTCATGTCACACACACGTGCATCCTCATCTTACCTACAGTGAGTTGGAGTGACCCAGCATCTACCACACTGCTAAGAGTGCTTCTTCATTATTAACTGCACTCACAAAAGTTGAATTGTCATTTAAGATACTGTATACACTATTATGTGCTTTCACATCCACTACTGTACAGTGCTTCCACTGCATATGATTTGCAATCATTCTTCTGGCAGTGCCTTCTGCAACACAAGTTTCTTTTTAGCAGCTGATTCACTGTATCTGCTCATTGACCTTGTACCACTTTTGACACACATCTTCACTGTTCTCTCCTCTGGCTGTCATTTCACTTGGCTAAATTTTAATAAATTACATGTATAGTTTCCATTGAACAATCCTGTGCTGGATAAAGCCTCCAAAGAGGGAGTTGGTCGCTTAGATAGCATGGCAACCAAGTTGTTATTCCATCAAGTCCGAGGCTGTGTTCACCCAGCCATCACATCTAAGCTAAATGGTGCTTGACCAGACTGATCAAATAACAAGCACCTCCCCCAGTTCACTACACAAATGGCTATACTGTATTTGTATGTGTATACACAAATGCATGCATATCATAAATATTGTTCACTTCTAATACATTTTTTGGAATAGTGGATAGCTGTTGCTGGAATGGTCATCAAGTCTATTGATATGACTGAATGTGTCTCATATTCTGACAGTAGTTTTGTATTGCTATTCAAAACAGGAGCGATCACTTCTCCTTCGAAAGTGGTACAACTTAATGGAAGAACACAAAGAGGACCTTGCATTAATAATTACTGCAGAGGCTGGCAAGCCAGTGACAGAGTCTCGAGGAGAAATTGGGTATGGAAATTCATTTTTGGAGTGGTATTCTGAAGAGGCTAAAAGGATATATGTAAGTATTTTCAATTGTATTTAATACTAAAGGCATTTTCTCTAAGTCTATGAAAATTCTTGTATAATATGAGGATTATACAGTATGTAGTCTGTGAGATTAAATTTCCCATGTGAATTCTGTAATTATAATTTTTGTTATTGTTATGTTTTCTTCCATTTAATACTATTATGGTACAATGCTTATCATCCTAGAGTTTGTTATTGACTGAAGCTTTATTATTTTCAATGAATAATGTTATATTCTCCTGGTTTTTCCCCTGATAAAATTTTACTTATTTTAGCTTGGATTAATTTTTATTTTATTTTAAGAATTATTAATTCTGCATACAGGGAGAGGTAGCACAAAGTCCTTCAGCCAGCAAGGAGATGATCTTCTTACGTCAGCCTATAGGTGTAGCAGCAATGATTACTCCGGTAAGTAGCTTTGACAGTATAAATGGTAAGTGTGGAAGTTATCTTGAGGTTATCTTGAGATGATTTCGGGGCTTTTTAGTGTCCCCGCGGCCCGGTCCTCGACCAGGCCTTCACCCCCAGGAAGCAGCCCGTGACAACTGACTAACACCCAGGTACCTATTTTACTGCTAGGTAACAGGGGCATAGGGTGAAAGAAACTCTGCCCATTGTTTCTCGCCGGCGCCTGGGATCGAACCCAGGACCACTGGATCACAAGCCCAGCGTGCTGTCCGCTCGGCTGATCGGCTCCCTTTAAGTTACGTTTAGAGAACCGTTGAATTGTTTTATGAATGTAATGGACAAAAGTTTTTAACTTTAGCTGTAATTTGGTGACAGGTTTGCTGGATATAAACTTTTTTGTATAATCAAAGCCTAAGTCATTTTATAATTTTAAATATCTTGCTGTAACAGTTTTAATGAAAGATAACTATGAGGCCAATAAAATGATAATTACAGTATTGTCTTTATTTTAGTGGAACTTCCCAAATGCCATGATTACTCGTAAAGCTGGAGCGGCTCTGGCAGCAGGCTGTACTTGTGTCATCAAGCCTGCAGAGGACACGCCCTTGTCTGCACTTGCTGCTGTAGATCTGGCAGAAAAAGCTGGTTTTCCACCAGGTACGTTTTTTGAGAACATTTACTCAGATGTAAAATTGGTTGCCTTCTCTGGAAAGAATTAATTATATCACAAGTTTTAATCCTACTTAAGAAGTTTACATTTAGCTAATTCCTATCTAAACTACAAAAATTGCATCTCCATAATAGTAATCTTAATACTAATGCAAAAAACTAATTTTGTTTACAAGAAGTTTACATTTAGCTAATTCCTATCTAAACTACAAAAATTGCATCTCCATAATAGTAATCTTAATACTAATGTAAAAAACTAATTTTGTTTACAAGATTCACATTTAAAATGCACAAGTATTAATATGGTGTTTTATGTTCTACTGTATGTGCAATTCCTGATTCTACTTCAGGTCCTACCTATACAACATAGGTCCTTTCTTCAATTAGGTCCCGTCTACTGTATAAATATACAACTGAACCTACACATGAAAAGAAAGGAATGTGACAACTCATCAGGCTTTCCTGGATCCTTATCAAGTCATATGAAAGCAAAACCTTTTCATTTAAAATCTGAGGTTAACTAGTTTCACTACAGTATACTAGAGGTACACGAGCTCCATTAGAGAAAAGAAGAGGTATCGATAGCTCCTAAAGCTGTTATTGTAAGGCACGTTTATCCTAAACCTGTTGCTAAGGTATACATGTTTCGGTGTATATTGGGGTAGAGCGCTGATATTTATTATATACAGGGTATTTCTATATTATATAGAGCATTACAATATTTACTTCTGAATGCACTGCTAAAATGTCACTGTGGTGGTTTTTATTTTGGTTTGTTTTAACCATTATGTTAATAAAACGTTTGTGGCGGAGTGGTTAGCACCCTCACCCGATCACCTTGCAAGTGAGAACGACCCAGTTTTGGGAAGAGTAGGCATATTGGGCACTGACCATTTAAATGATTAGCTGATCACGTTCTTGCAAAAAACAAAACTTTCAACTCGATCTAGAGAAGCAGGCTGTTTTTTTTTTGGGGGTTGTGCAATGTTGAACGAGGGAGAAACTCGGGAAGAAGATAAAGGGTTAGAGCAGAGAAAGTTAATGAATAAAGTATCATGAGGATCTGAACTAGAGTCCATCTTGTTCCTAATATTTATAAAATACCTAACAGAGGTTACAAGTTTATTCATATCATGTTTATTGATTATGGATTTAATTAGAAGAATCAGATCATATGAGGGCCCTAATACCCTACAAAACTATAGAGATATCGCTAGAGATAGCCTGAAAAATGGCTACTGCACTTTAAAACTGACATGTGGAAAGTTACAAGTATAGGAACAGATGGTAAAAGACTCCAAATTCAGTACAGAATGATAGGAAAACCTCCTTCATCAGGAAAGAAGACCTAGAAGTAGAAATAACCCAAAATCCAACTACAGGCACACATCAGCACAATATTGTCATCCATGTTAAACTTGTCACCTCTTCAATTTGACAATCTACCAACTTTTGCACTTCACATCTCTCCATGACATTTTCACTTCTCACGATTATTCTAATTAAAAATAATACTTTCAAATTGTTTTTCCCTGGCTTACCAGGGTTTTTATTGTATCAGGTTTCATATTATTGATGTGTGATGATGCCTTAAAAACAATCATTGCCACTTTACATAAAGTAATCCTTTCTTCTTCAGTGATAACAGCAACTTATTTATATAGAACTGTATAAAATTATCAAGTTTTGACAAGGAAACACACGTTTTATATTGTGAGCTTATCTTCTTGTCAGGTGTCATCAATGTTGTGACTACATCGAGAGCAAATACATCAGTCGTTGGGGAGCTTATGTGTACCAGTAAAAAGGTTGCAGGCGTCTCCTTCACAGGTAGAGTGTTGTAGTACAATTTTCATTAAAAGTTTAAATTAGAGGTGCCACCAACTATCAATAAGTAGTGGGCAAGACTTATTTGTTGCAATTTATTAATGCAGGTAAGATTTTCTTGATCAGAATGCAACGACAAAATGTTCCATAAACTAATAAAAAATATAAATTCTTAAGAATTGGTTGAATTACAACACAGTTACTTTGGCCAGCAGCATGGTCTCTGGCTGTTTATGTTCACCACAGATTTCTGACCAATGTTCACAGACAGCACTCCAATCATGGAAGTATATGACCCTCACCCTACCCCAATAAAAATAAATAAATATACTGTATATACAGTATATATAATTTTTTTCGTTACACAGTAGCAAAGTTCTAACTAAACTTAACATTACTGTGTAATATTGGATTTCTAAGTGATTTTATTTGCATATTCAGTATGAAAACATCCAGAAAGGGTGCATAGAACTTGAAAACATTAGCTATGAGGAGAAGCCTCAGGCATTAAATATGCCAAGGCTGGAAGATAGGATGAAGAAGGTAATATGATCACTATGTACAAAATAGTAACAAATTGATAAAGAGGAATTTTTTAAACCTGCAACTTCAAGAACAAGAGGTCAGTTTCAAGCTAAAGAAACAAAGGTGCCAAAAAATATAAGGAAGCTTTTTAGCAAACAGTGTTGTAGAAGGTGGGAATAAGTTAAGTGTGTAGGCAGTGGATAACAAAACCATTGGTAGTGTCAAAGTATTATATGACAGAGTATTGGGAAGATGCGATACCACAAGGGTAGCTCTCATTCTATAGCTACACTTGTGTAATTATGCTGGTTACTTGTGGGGACCTGAGCTTGTGTTGAGCTAGACGACTAAGGTACCAGCCTTTCCCTCCTTTCAACAGATGTTGTTGGTGCATGTGTGTGGGGTACTTTATACACGTTCAGGATTCTTTATGAAGCCCTTATTAATCTTAGAGTGCCCAACATCACTTATCTGTATAATAAATCATTTAATGAGTAGAGCAATGCTATCACATAATAAGTGTTTGTTTATTACTTTCAGGTGAGGGTTAAGTTGGGGTGTATCCGGATGAAGGGCATACATTCTACCTCTTACATTAGCCCTATTGGACGAGTGATAGCTTTCACCTTCAGGCATGCTAAATGTACTAGTACAGAATGGGTGTGGGTGTCTTCCAGCCTTGACCCTATGTCTAGGTGAGCTGCTTATGATGTCACTCACAAATTAAAAGCCTGAGCACAGAAGTATGCAAGGTGCTAGTTGTAGATTTTGGGTGGTTGGTGGGGCATTTAGGAAAATTTTATCTTTGACAACTATTTGGAAGGCTTGGATAACTCTTGAGCTTGTCCAGTAAAAAAGACCAGGAGATATTCAGGCTGGGAGCAATAATGCACACAAGTGATTTAAGTTTTTGGGAGAGAAGGTGCAAGATATGGCAACCCTTCAGATCCTCTTCTGGGTTTATCTGGAGGCTTGCACTTGTATAGCATGTAAAGAGGGTTGTACAAACCATAGGATACCTGCAAACTTATTTGTTTCAAGCCTACGGCTTCCCATTGTCCAGGTCTTCTTAAGCCATCGGCTCCTAGCCCTTGATTCCAACCACAACAGTTACCTACCTACCAGATACCTATTTACTGTTGGATAAACAGAGGCATTGGGTGTAAGAAAAGGTGGGGTTGGTCTTTTTATACTGTACTGTACAGTATTTATGTAATAGGGAAGCAGAGACAATAGATAATAAGAGATAGTGAACCATTTCTTCAGGTATTTTCTGCATCTTGGTTACCTATAGCAGAAGGTAGTAGAGCTTTAAGAATGTTTCTTTGAAATAATAATGATTTGATTATAATAGAATGTCTCTTTCTGGACTGCTCCTCAGTAGCTCCCTTGAGTCTGTACAGTAACACATTTCAGACGGACTGGTTACACTGAGCACTTGAGACTCTGTCTCTACTGGAAACAATGGCCTCTACAAACTCCCTTTTCACCTCTACATGGAGGAAAGTACATTGGTACTGGGTTGAGCTTTGATCCCAATGTGAAGTGCCCATGTGAACTTCAAAAGGAGGCCGACAAAATAAAATGTACTGTATCAAGATGTTGACCAGACCACACACTAGAAGTTGAAGGGATGACAACGTTTCGGTCCGTCCTGGACCATTCTCAAGTCGATTGAGAAACGTTGTCGTCCCTTCAACTTCTAGTGTGTGGTCTGGTCAACATACTTCAGCCACGTTATTGTGACTCATCGCCTGTATCAAGATTGTTCATAGCATTAATGGTGATATGGAAGATGAGAAGGAAGCTGCATCACAAATGGCAATAGTAATTCCCTTATGGCAAACATAGTTATTTGGTTAATATTGGTTAATAAGGCTTCCATTATTAACCATTATTTGGTTAATAATGCTTCCACAGATAAAATTCAGATTTTAAAAGTTTGTCAGTACTACAGGTGGGGCAAAGAACTGACTGAGGACAGTGAAAAATTAAAGAAATCAAAATAGATATACAGTTGTAGATTTTGGGTGGTTGGTGGGGCATTTAGGAAAATTTTATCTTTGACAACTATTTGGTAGGCTTGGATAACTCTTGAGTTTGTCCAGTAAAAAAGACCAGGAGATATTCAGGCTGGGAGCAATAATGCTCCCAGCCTGAATTCAGGTCTTGGTAAGACCTGAATTCCAAACACTTTCAACCAATGAAGCCTCAGCATCTGAAAATCAAAACTGAGCTTGGCAAGCTCTTGCACAGTAATTATAGGGTTAGGTTTGGTTAAATTAGCCTAGATTGATTAAACTACTTATTGGCACAATCTGTATTTCCATTTTCATTTAAAATGTGCTGTTTTAAAGTACTTTCATTATACTGTAATGTGTATAGAATCAATTTTCTGTATTGTAAAGTACAATACCCAATACAGTACTGTATTACAATCTGAGAGCGATCAAAACATCTTGCAACACCAAGGCAAGTTAAATTATTGGTCAAATTTTATTTATTTAAATGAAGATGGCATAATAATGTACATCTATTATTAATATTCATTGTGGTAATGAAAATTCAGTTGTTTGTGGCTAAATAATAAAGTAATTTGTTAAATAATTGTGGTGTGCACAGTAAGACTTTGGATAACTCTGATCTCCTGTTATGTGGATGGTGATCCGCCACGTGTGATCCGCATTAGCGAGTGAATACTGTACTGTACAAAGAAAATCTGTTACTCTGTCTGAAGATTTAATATACAAGCTTAGTTACAGTAAGTTTAATAATTGTATCTTGTTTTTTTTAGGCTCGACAGCAGTTGGACGGCTCTTATATAAGCTCTGTTCAGATGGTGTCAAGAGAATTGGACTCGAACTTGGAGGAAATGCTCCATTTATTGTCTTTAATTCAGCAAATATTAAATCTGCCGTGGAAGGCCTTATGATTGCAAAGTTTAGAAATTCAGGACAAGTAAGTGTACTATAATATTGGATGAAAATATAGAAATTGATTATTTAGATGAATATCTACAATTATACTGTAGATATTCATATCACTCTTAATCCATTCTGAATTTTAACAAATTCTGATTTATGAAGAAATTTGCATTTCTATTTCTGAAAGGGCCCCCTGTGAACTTTGAGCTATTCTACTAAGGCTGCCAAACCTTAGGGAATTGCAAAAGGTTCATGCATATAAATATCAGTGTGCATATACAGTATATGCATATATTTATTTATTTATTTATTTATGCATATACAAGAAGGTACATTGGGAATGTGAGGATACATAATATGGTAATTACAGTCTTGTAAAGCCACTAGTACGCGCAGCGTTTCGGGCAGAGTGTATATCAGTGTGGCTAGCAACAGGGAACCACGAAAGCCCCCTACCCCAAGAAAGAGGCGTTTCATTACATTCAGTGGTGGACTTTTAGTGCCACAGTTTATATTTTGTACACGTGTCCCTTCAATTGGTATATTTTGTGTACTGATGTTTTGGTGGATGAGTTGGATTTTTTCTAATATACTGTACTAAATATAAATATATATAATTTTGTAATAATTTACAGGCTTGTATAAGTGCCAATAGAATATTGGTCCAGGAAGAAGTATACGATAAATTTTTGGAAGCTCTAATGGAAACTGTCAGCAAAACACTGGTCATTGGTGATGGTTTTGAGAAGGAAGTGAATATAGGTCCACTCATAAACAACAGTCAGCTGAAAAAGGCAAGTGCATTACAGATATTTTGGTTTGGCTAACCTGTTTATTATATATTGTTAACAATCTTCATGAAAGGTAAGACCTAACTGAATTTGCAAGAATTTCCTTGAGAGGAAATTTTTTTGGGGGGCTAACCCCCTGCTTTCCCAGTAATTCCTTCAGCTTGTGTACTGGCCATTATTGGTCAGACTAGCTTAGCCAGGTACTCGATACACAAAAATTTGCCTACAGAGTTCTAAGGCTTATATATCTCTCATTGCCTCCTCGACAAAGTGAGAGCACTTGTTAATCGGAAATCAAAGCAACACTGAGAGAAAAGGCCCTTAAATGCTAAGGAAGGACGACACCACAAAACACTCAAACTCCCTCCGAGAAATGATTTAGACCATGCCAAATGTCCAAATAGCAAACTTGCCAACTGCTTAACTAGCAATCCTTATGGTTCACTCCTCTGGTGGTGGTCTGGTTCACCCCTGGTCTAGGGAACAAACCCACCCAACTCTGCCAGTCACCTGGTCTTTGAATATCTTCCTATTGCTTTGGAAATCTTTGGCTCCTACAGGTAAATGTCTAGTTTTTCTTTGCCCTTCAAGCCTGTGTCGGGGTTGTAGGCTATTTACATTTTACAAGTATGTGCACCATTCACATTGTCTCTCTCAGGTGTATAATTTTTATATGCTTGACTACAGTTAATTATCTAATTTATACTTTTATTTTACAGGTTGAAAGGATTGTGAATGATTCAGTAGCGGCTGGTGCAAAAGTAGAGCTGGGTGGAAAATGTCACAGTATAGGAAGCAAATTCTTCCAGCCAACTATACTCAGTAATGTGACTGAAGATATGGCATGCTTCCAGGAAGAGATATTTGGCCCTGTCATAGCTCTAAAAAAGTGAATAAATATTGAGTTTTGTTAATTATATGTTTAAAATTACATATTGTTATTATATAGAGAAGCACCAAGATCAGATTAGAATTTCATAGAAAATAACCTTTTTGCCTGTATGGGCTTTTATCTAATCTATCACAAATACTTGGGACTTGTGCTTATAAATGGGTAAAATGGTAGAAGGTTGAGGTCAGATTGTTTGAGGTCAGTGAGGTGTATTATGCATTACAATTTTTTTATAAAATATTAATTTAGCTAGCGTGTAAGTTTACTAAAGAAAGTTAGTAAGCTATTGAACTAGCTAAAAAGTTCAATAGCATTAGTGAACTTTCCTTTATTTTGTTGAGATATTAGTACTGTACTAATATTAGTACAGTACTAATATCTGTACATGGTAATACTGTACCATGTACAGTACTATTAGTACTGTACATGGAAGATATGAAATGGCAGAGTTGTGGAGTGTGAACTAAGAAGGATGCTCTACACTGGTCCAGACATCTGGAAAGTATGATAGAAGGCATTCAAGGAGGGTGAGGAAAATGAATTCCAGGGGGTTACTGACAAGTAGAACCTCGGTTACGTGGAACGGGAAAACTAATCCTTCATGGAAGGATTATTTAGGGTTCAGGTCTCATAAAATCTTAAGAGTAATGAACAGACTGATTTGATTGTTCATCATTTTTATTACAATCTAATTTTTTCCTTGATTATAATAGTCTCCACGCTTCATGTATTTACACTTATTGCAGATTCAAAACGGAAGAGGAGGCTGTTGCAATTGCAAATGCATCAGAGAGTGGTTTAGCATCTTACTTCTACAGCCAAGATGTGTCACAAGTGAGTTAAACTACTAAGAATGTATAAAAATGCATCATATAGTTTTTCTGGATATAGTAACCAGATGTAATTTAGACAACTTTGAGGATGTGTTATGATATTATAATATGAGGATGGGCCCAAACTCTGATATAACAGCTGCTCAAAATGTATTGACTATGGTCAACTGCCTTGCAAGCTCTTTAGCCTGAAAACAAACTACAAAAACTAGAGCGTATTAGATGAGAACATAGCTGTTCTCCCCCAAACAAATGCATAACAGGAAACGTCAATGTGAGAAGTGATGCCAACAAAATCCTTACCAGCTCCTCGCAGGCTGTGTATACCACTTCCCGACGAGCTAGTAGACGAATCTTGCAAAAGAATGAGGTTTTAATTGGACAGTGACCTCTGAAATATCTAGTAAAAACATAACCCTATTAGTACATAATAAAGCAGCAGTTAAGAGACTAGCTTGAAGAGGACACTGGGACTTCCCAGCCTTTTGGTCAAAATCAGAGTGTAGGTAATGAAGGGAAAGGGAAGGGGGGTCTTTGTTCATGTGTCTAATGAAATTTTTGTGTGTGTTAGTGAGGAGGTTGATGGGTGTTATGGGGTTGGGGTATAGCTGGTATTTATTGGTGATGATGGCGGTGGGAGAAGGGGTATTGGTGTCATGTACTGTACTGTACAGTAGATCAGTTATTAATGAAGACTTTGAGTTTCTATACAAAAGATTCTTTCCTTTTCTAGGTTTGGAGAGTGGCTCGTAAATTGGAGACAGGAATGGTTGGTATTAACGAAGGCCTCATATCTGCTGCAGAAGGAGCATTTGGAGGTGTCAAAGAATCTGGAATTGGGAGAGAGGGTTCAAGACATGGCATTGATGATTACACTTATTTAAAATACATATGCTTAGGTGGTATCAACTAAAGGTTTATATTTATTCAAAGCATATTCAGGACCTGTCAGTAAAAGATACTTTGAAATTAATTTATCAAGATTATGAATAAACACATACAATAAAACCTTGTCTTCTCTATATTTTTCAATTACTGTAATTACCTCACATTAATATTTAAAATAATATATATTGAGATTTAGTGATGTAATACAACAGGCAGTTTGTTTCAAAATACATTGCAGTTTTTTATATTGTTTGAGTTTATTGTTAAATTGTTCTGTGGAATGTAAGTAAAATTATGTTGTGTGTATTATCTGCAAGGTATGCAAGTTTATGATTACTGAACTAAGTGATAAATCTCACTTTTCTTCTAAAGAATGAGATTCAGCACGATAAATGTTTATCTGGCCTGTATAAGTACAGGTACAGTGTAGTAGATTCTGTATTATTAAAAATGTGGTTCATTTAGTGCAGGATTGAGCAATGAGACTCATTCCTGGGCTGAAGGGCTTGAGCTATGAGAGAAGACGGAGAGAACTTGACCTTACCACACTGGAGGAAAGGAAAGGCAGAATGCTGTCCTTGTCCATGTACGTGACCAGCTGCTCAGATTACCATCTTCTCTGGTCTCCTCCAGCAGTTATACTCTGCTCTTCAGTATTGCCAATGCCCAGGGTTCAAATTACCAACTTCAGTTTGGCTAATAAGGATTCACTATTCACTCTTCACTATTGCCAAACCAAAGGTTTAATACACCCTTCGCATGCTAGACCAAAGATGACCCATTGTCACCATCTGATCACCCCCACTTATTATATTTCTTAGGAATATCTATAAATGTTTTAATTAATAGCCTCACAGTTTGTTGAGATAAGGATAAATGTTACAAATAAGACCAACATTGTATACTAATTAGGACTTTATTTTTAAATTAATACTCTGTTATATCTTTCAAATACGAAGACAAACACAAATCCAACCGTCTATACGGAATGGAAATTTGTACACTAAGGCATAGGTAGCCCTGTTTACAATTTCTATTCATTTACAAAGCTGGAAAAATATTGCCTTTGAGTGCATTTTGTGAATGCTCCATAAATCTAAAAATAAGATACTCTTTAGAACATTTCATTAAATGCTGAGAAAGATTTTAGTTAATTTTGAGCAAGAGTTCTATAAGCACTAGTGACCACCTCCCAGCGGTGTGGAGCTGGGAGCACCGGCCTCCCCGTGAGGAGCTCCGAAATGCTCACGCAACTCACCAGTCTCTTTGTGAAGTTCTCGCTTCCAGCACAAGAAGAAGAAAAAGAAGACAAAAATCCAGAAATATTGAGCAGTTTGAGATGATAAGAGGCCAGGTTTGCCAAGATCCCCAAGCTATGTACAAATGTTACACGGTTGTCTGGCATCACAAAGACTAATGATAACTATATGATGCTGTGACTGATGACTTAATCTGATGGACTTGTCATACTCTTGTACTCCACCACTGTCTGGTGTGCGGGCAGCCACGCCAGGACTCGGGGGGCCCCCTACCATCGTACTACGACTAGATGAGCAATACTAGTTAACACGCAATCGACAATACCCTGTTGTTTTCCACCTACAGTATTTACAAAAATCGTGAATGGGATATATATACAATGACAAAATCACCACTCTGAAATTTAAATAAAATTTTAAATATGTTAACCTTTTTTTTTTGTCCCATTTATACCAAGAAAGCAAACTTATAAAAATAAAAATGCCCTGTTTTTACCTAATACAGTATTATCGGGTCCATGAGGCCTGCAACGGACTAATGTACAATATTACATTGCACAAATTTTTCACATTTATCTTCTATAACATATGAGGCTGCAGATGGTTAAGTGAACATTGTTAGGGGTTCAACATTGACGCATACGCAGAGCCACACAAGAAAACAATAACAATTTAGCTTTGTAAGAGTTAAACTAACATTGCTCTCAATGCGGTTCTTTGCATGGCCAAATCACGTGTTTAGATTTTTCTCAGAACATATATACATACTGTATTTGTATATATATGTATATATACACAGTACTAAAGTTTATACAAATAACTTACCACTGAATGCATCTCAAAAGAATCCAAGCTAAAATGTTTACACAGCAGGAACGAGAGGTGGGAGGCGGGAGGCGTGGTGGCGGAAGAACACGACCTTGGCAGCTACGATGTGAGGGGCGTCGTTGGGGTAAATGAAGGACCGGAAACGAGGGTCCACCTCAGCCAAGGGGTCTACCAGGTTTGATGGTGCTGCAGGACTTGACTTGGTGATGACCGGAGCTCCCACAGGGAAGGCGACGGGCTCTGTGTGTACCACATTCGATGCTTCTACAGCTTGATCAACTGGGGAAGCCTCGACCTCGGGGGCAACCAATTCAACTGGGGTAGCCACTTCAACTGGGGCAGTTTCTTCAACTGGGGCGGTTTCTTCAGCTGGGGCAGCCAATTCAACTGGGGCAGCTTCTTCAACTGGGGCAGCTTCTTCAGCTGGGGCAGCCAATTCAACTGGGGCAGCTTCTTCAACTGGGGCAGCTTCTTCAGCTGGGGCAGCCAATTCAACTGGGGCAGCTTCTTCAGCTGGGGCAGCTTCTTCAACTGCGGCAGCTTCTTCAACTTGAGCAGTCTCTTCAACTAGGGCAGCTTCTTCAACTGGGGCAGCTTCTTCAGCTGGGGCAGCCAATTCAACTGGGGCAGCTTCTTCAACTGGGGCAGCTTCTTCAGCTGGGGCAGCTTCTTCAACTACGGCAGCTTCTTCAACTGGGGCAGCTTCTTCAGCTGGGGCAGCCAATTCAACTACGGCAGCTTCTTCAGCTGGGGCAGCTTCTTCAACTGCGGCAGCTTCTTCAACTTGAGCAGTCTCTTCAACTAAGGCAGCTTCTTCAACTGGAACAGTCTCTTCAACTAGGGCAGCTTCTTCAACTTGAGCAGCTTCTTCAACTAGGGCAGCTTCTTCAACTAGGGCAGCTTCTTCAACTAGGGCAGCTTCTTCAACTGGGGTAGTCTCTTCAGGAAGAATAGCCTCCTCAGTTGTGACAGCCTCTTCAACTACCGGAGTCAAGTTTACTTCCCCGGCAGCAGATTCACCTTCCAGGACTGCTTCCGTTGGTTCAGCTCCATTCTCCGCTGGACTAGCAACTTCGGCTGGTTGAATCTCCGTGTCGACAGCTACTTCGCCATCAAGTACGGCGAGCGGCGCCGCTTGAGCCGCCAAAAACAGGGAGAGAAGAAACTGAAAGACAAGAAACGCAGCATTTAATAAAAAACGTTGACGACACGCCTGCCTGAGCAGAATCTTTGATACAACTTGTGAACAAGTTAATTTTTATATTTATATAAATTGTAGGCCACCGTTTGACGTTAATAATAATATTAACTGGAATTAATATAATATTTCATAAATTAGAAAGTAATACCATTGTCGGGGGACAGAAAACTTGTTTACACTAACGAACGAAAATGCTTGAAACGCGCGAAACACTCGTATAGGCATTTAGGCTTTTGGCATTGTACTTGTCTTACTAAGGAATTCACTGTTCTTGTATCTTATGCATGTACTCACATAGTTGTGCTTGCGGAGGTTGAGCTTTGGCTCTTTGGTCCCGCCTCTACTAATTTACAGATTCCTGAGCTTCTCGAGCGCAATAATATCTACATTTGAAACTGTGTATGGATGGAGTCAGCCTCCACCACGTCACTTCCTAGTGGATTCTACTTACTAACTACTCTGACACTGAAAAAGTTCTTTCTAATATCTCTGTGACTGTGATGTACGTATGTATGTACTTCTGTGTAAATAAATTATTATTATTATTATTTAGGATAGAAACCCACACTTGTGTTTGTGAAATTTATGTAAGGAATTTACACCAAAGTCTTTCGCACTCTTCTGAGTGTGTGATTAAGATGAGACTTACATCTCAATGTCTAATGAGGCTGCTATCCTGAGTCCAGTCCTCTTATCCTTCTTGACCTAAGAGGACTGGACCCCAGGATAGCAGCCTCATTAGACGTCGAGATGTAAGTCTCGTCCTAATCACACACTCAGATCTTAATAAAGGACTCGGTAGAATGCGAAAGACTTGGTATAAATTCCTTACATAAATTTCACAAATACACAAGTATGGGTTTTCATCCTATGTTATTATATCTATGAGAAGACATTACCATTATTATTATTATTAACGGTGTATCTAGCCTGCAACTATTTTTTCCCTTTTATAATGATGGTTCCATCACATGCGGCCCTCAGGGAGGGATGCTGAACCTGACCTTCACCGGCTGGCCGGCGCCGGGTGTGGCTCACTGTACCCTGTACTGACAGCTGGGTGTGGCTCACTGTACCGTGTACTGACAGCTGGGTGTGGCTCACTGTACCCTGTACTGACAGCTGGGTGTGGCTCACTGTACCGTGTACTGACAGCTGGGTGTGGCTCACTGTACCCTGTACTGACAGCTGGGTGTGGCTCACTGTACCGTGTACTGACAGCTGGGTCTGGCTCACTGTACCCTGTACTAACAGCTGGGTGTGCCTCACTGTACCGGAACACGATACAATGAACACTGCAGGAATTTAAAAAAAACGGTTGAATTTTAAAATCCATCGCGATAAAAATCATTAGGACTATAATGATTAGAAATTAATGAAATGATTATGAAGCTAATGCTTAGACCTTCGACAAGCAGCCGACTTCTTGTCATCATCGAGACCACTGGAGAGATAGTCACTAAAGACATAGTGGTACTCAGCTAAGTTTGTGAGCCAACACTTTTCATAGTAAGATATGACTAAGACTCTCCACACAGCACTTGCCTCAAGTGGCGAGTCTTCCCTCAACATAAATCCTCCGGAAGAATAATTTTGCTTCATAGATTAATAAATAACAAACGCTTCGTTGCTACTGTAATAATATCAAAGAAAAATTAATTATGCGCGCGCAGGCAGAGATGAGCGAGGCTGCAACTAAATCATTATATTGTAAACAAATATTTCCCAGTTCCAGGAGATACTTTGGTGTCCACTAAACCAGAACATAATTCACTTGAGGAGTAACACTTTCACAATCAATTTGTCCTGGGTTCGAGTCTCAGTGAGGGAGAGACGGATCCTTACACCTGATGCCACTGATCACTTAATCAGAAAATCGGTACCATGGAGTTGGGCAAAATTGTGGGCAGCATCCTGAGGGATGCCAGATCTGAGTCGTGGCTTAGGTAAGACTAACAATCGTCCTGTCCCAGACAAACGGGAACTAAAAACACGAAGAATGAGGTACCCACCAGAGCGTGCATGGCTGATGTCACTCACTGGGAGATGTGGCGCCTGTTTCTGGTCGCCGCCGCCTTATATACAACAGCGTCATGTCCACCCCGCCCACTATGCCCTTTCCTCAAACCCCCTGACTCACTTCATTTATCGTGAACTGGCTATCCTTATCACCTTCTCAGTAGCGTCCACCGCTCACAGGGATTATTACACTTCGACATGGTCTAACGATGAGCTTTTGAAATGGAGATTTTCACTTGTACACAAAATATAGGGATATTTTAAGATGCGCTTCTGGGTTCAGTATCGAGGTCGTGCGCGCTGGTTTTTCCCGTGGAGGCTGATAATGTCAACTGGAGGCTTAAGATGAACGTTCCTTTCAGGCCTCTTGCATGGGGGTATAGGCTGAAGGGCCAGCCATCCATTGGGCTAGTTTATGTGTAGTCTAGTTCATGTGCGGCTCCTCTGGTCTAGTTCATGTGTGGCTTCAATGGTCTGGTTCATGTGTGGCTTCAATGGTCTAGTTCATGTGTGTCTTCAATGGTCTAGTTCATGTGTGGCTTCAATGGTCTAGTTCATGTGCGACTCCTCTGGTCTAGTTCATGTGCGACTCCTCTGGTCTAGTTCATGTGCGGCTCCTCTGGTCTAGTTCATGTGCGGCTCCTCTGGTCTAGTTCATGTGCGGCTCCTCTGGTCCAGTTCATGTGTGGCTTCAATGGTCTAGTTCATGTGTGGCTTCAATGGTCTAGTTCATGTGCGACTCCTCTGGTCTAGTTCATGTGCGGCTCCTCTGGTCTAGTTCATGTGCGGCTCCTCTGGTCCAGTTCATGTGTGGTTTCAATGGTCTGGTTCATGTGCGGCTCCTCTGGTCTGGTTCATGTGTGGTTTCAATGGTCTGGTTCATGTGTGGCTTCAATGGTCTAGTTCATGTGTGGCTTCAATGGTCTAGTTCATGTGTGGTTTCAATGGTCTGGCTCATGTGTGGCTTCAATGGTCTAGTTCATGTGTGGCTTCAATGGTCTAGTTCATGTGTGGCTTTAATGGTCTAGTTCATGTGTGGCTTCAATGGTCTAGTTCATGTGCGGCTTCAATGGTCTAGTTCATGTGTGGCTTCAATGGTCTAGTTCATGTGCGGCTTCAATGGTCTAGTTCATGTGTGGCTTCAATGGTCTAGTTCATGTGCGGCTTCAATGGTCTAGTTCATGTGTGGCTTCAATGGTCTAGTTCATATGCGGCTTCAATGGTCTAGTTCATGTGTGGCTTCAATGGTCTAGTTCATATGTAGCTTCAATGATCTAGTGTATGTGTGGTTCCATTGGTCTAGTTCCCATATGGTTCCACATATTTTAGTTCCCATGTGGCTCCGTTGGCCCAGGTACCTGGATTGTGCCTGGATGTGGTTTTGGGAGTTCTTTTACTCCCCAAGCCCATGTGAAAGCTTGGTCCAATAGGCTGTTGCATGGAGCGGTCCGAAGGGCCACATATCCACAACAGCCCGGTTGATCTGGCACTTCTTGCAGAAAACTGTCCAGTTTTTTCTTGAAGATTTCCACTCTTGTTCAACTTTTCCCATAGTTGCTTGGAGGATATTGAACAACCGTGGACCTCTGATGTTCATACAGAGGTCGTTATACTTCGGTTATGCATGTGGTATCTGTACTCATCACTGGCTCTATTCTGCATTTCCTTCCATATCGTTCACTCCATATATTGGTATTTTGCTGTGTAAATTTGGGACTTGGCCCTCCAGCATTTTCCATATTTATATTATTTGATACCTCTCTTTTCATTTTCAGAAAGTATATTTTGAGAGCTTTGGTACGATCCCAACAAGTTAGGTGCTGTATCGTGTCTATGCGTGCCGTATATGTTCTCTGTTTTATCTGTATTTCAGCAATCTCTCCTGTTCTGAAGGGGAAGTGAGTAACGAGCAATGCTCAAGGCGGGACAACACAAATGATTTAGTATGAATATGAATGATGGGATTCCTGGATTTTAAGGTTCTTGTAATCCATCCTATATTTTTTCTAACTGACGCTATAATTTGCTTGGTTATGCTCCCTAAACGTTAGGTCGTCAGACATCATTACTTCCAGATCCTCTACAGTCTTGTAGACTCTAGCTTGTGTGTGTAGGTAACTTGAGTTGCCTCATCCCTTTGTGTGTTTTTTCCTCAATAAAGTTATTTCAATTTCAATTTCAATTTCTACAGTCTACACCACAGGGAAGCTGCACCACCAGGGCCTTCATGGCTATCTTAACTCATGAGATATCCAGTTATGGCCGGCAGGTCCCGGGAGAAGAGTCGGGCTGCTCTGAGGAGTGGCAGGTTGGTATAATTAGGAAATTCCTAAGATTTATGAGTCTTCTGTCTAGTTACACACCTGTCCTCCTGTCCTCCTGTCTAATGACGTTCATGTTACTCAAGTGCTGCCTAAGAACACTATTGTGTAACTGTCAATGGAGCAACATCTACTGCCTTGATAAATCTTTACGCAATAGACAGGATTTGAGGAAGAAGAAGCAGGTGGAAGACGACCTTACGGTTCATTCCGGTGTGTGGGAACACTGATCCACTCTCGTGTCCTGGTGTGACAGTACCCCGTCCACCACCGCTCACTGAGCAGGTGTGTCGCCTACCACACCCGCTCACTGGGCGGATGTGTCGCCTATCACACCCGCTCACTGAGCGGGTGTGTCGCCGACCCACCGCCGCTCACTGGGCGGGTGTCGCCGACCCACCGCCGCTCACTGGGCGGGTGTCGCCGACCCACCGCCGCTCACTGGGCGGGTGTTGCCGACCCACCGCCGCTCACTGGGCGGGTGTCGCCGACCCACCACTGCCCACTGGGCGGGTGTGTATGCGACCCACTACCGCCCACTGGGCGGGAACAGGTAGCATGATACACAAACATAACCAAATGCAAATAATTGAACACACGTGAAGGACTTATCTTAAACAAATTTGTGGTCCAGTTCATGACCCCTTAAAGTGACCCCGTGACCTTAGAGTGACTCCGTGACCTTAGAATGACTCCGTGACCTTTCCGTCACATCCCGCGGGTTGGGAAGGTCGCTCTAATGACCTAGTTAAGGGGTCAGTTTTAAGTCAAACTGTGAACAAGGTGTTCGCACACATACATGTTGATAAACACTGCAACTAGTCCATCCGTGTTGCAGCTCGTTTAGTTTTGGGATTCAGTTCTTGAGCTGACATGCATAGATGACTTTATCTACCACCACTCACAGGATGGGCATGGTCGGGGTTCGATTCTAATGCCAGTATTAAAGGTTAGGTGAACGTTTTTTTGCCCCTCTGTTCACCTAACATCGAATATGTTACTGGAAGTAAGGGAGCTGTTGTGGGTTGCATCTGGAGAAGGCCAGTAGTTGGTCCTACGGGACATGGACAAGACTTATAGGCCTCCTGTCTCCGACTATGGGAGCCAACTCTATGATGTCTGACAACAGCGCTCTCTTTGCTGCCTCCTCTTTGAACGCCGGCCTAGTCGATCTCAGCCGCAGCGTTCCTTATAAGTCCTGTCATCAGCGAGTTTTGATATTTTTGACGCTGCCTTTTTTTTCTAAGAATTAAGGAAATTACAGACCTATTGTCGACCAGGCTCTCTGTCCTTGTATCCCTGTCTGTTTCTGTCCGAGGCTCTGGGTGTCTGTTGTCTCTGTGTCTGTATCTGTCTGTGTCCGTATCTGTCTAATGTTTTTGTCGAATACTCCCTCACAGGCAACATTACCACCAGTGGCGCCTGTGAGTCTTACGGGAACGGCTGATTACTTCTTTGACTCGTTCGCGTTTCTAGCTCCCACTAATGTCCTTTCGACCTACTTTAACTTTAAAGAGGCTGGTCTTGTCCACCGTGTCACTTCCCTAAATATCTTGTATGTTGCGATTATGTCTTCTTCTCTCCTTCAGGGTTGTGAGGTCTAGTTCCATTAATCTATCCTCATAGTTCAACTCTCTTAGCGCTGGAAGTAATTTTGCTGCAGACCTTTGTAGTTTTAAAATTTTAGTTTTATGCTACAAAATGTGCAGAAATCCAGGCTGGTGCGGCATATTCCAATATTGATCTAACAATGTAGATTGCAATCCGTCCTCATCAATAAAGGCCACATGTACTTTAAGCCACCCGCTAAATCATTTGTTTGTGAATGAAAAACACTTTGCACACGACTCACAACTGATGACGTATGTACGTTTCTCGAACAGTGCTTCGGTCACGTCCTTTGCTCGGATCGCACCCCTCTAAACACCTCGTCCACCTACTGCAAATATTGTACCAATAATTACCAACAGAACCTAACCACTTAACCTTTACGGGCTACTCATGCCCGTGCCAACTCCTGGGTGGCTAAATCTTCATCAATCACCACTTAACCTAAGTTAGGCGTAACTGTTCAATACATTCTAGTATGTAATAATACTAACTTATTTCTGAGAAAATACAAATTTTCAATACCCAATACATTCAAATTGATGACATGTTTGACCAAAATACAACAGATGTTACATGATATCAACCCCAGTACACAATTGTATGCATCCTAACATAAATAAAATATTAGCTGACATTCCTTCATGCTGGTCGTGGATGCGTATAACTGACGCATTATAAAGGCTGTTATGTTATAGGTTACCAAAGGGCTGAGTAATGTTACAATGGCTGTGGTATCGTAATTATCCACAATAAAAATCCACTATCTCCCATTCCACCCTATAATCGTAAGGGATGCACGGGTTCGCAACCCATTTCCTTATCACACACTCCATCCCCCTAGTCACACCCCACGCCTAAAAAAGAGGAAATATAAACATTGATAGTTGGAGACAGAAGGATAGAGAAGCAGAGAGAGAGAGCGAGAGAGAGAGAGAGAGAGAGAGAGAGAGAGAGAGAGAGAGAGAGAGAGAGAGTGACAACTAAAGAGAGACTAAGAACTGGCTCACAAGACAAGAGTCGCAGCACCAACAGGTTTAGACCACAGACTGACTCTTAGACATGTTAAGGTCACATATATTTGCGTATGTATTTTTCTCTTTGGACATACAGTCAGGGAAAATATGTACATTATTGTATGCATTTTCCACACTAAACTGAA